ATTATTGAAACTGTTAGAGACATGAATCATATGATATGAATCAAATATAAAGGGTGATAGTTTTCTAAGAGAACTAAATATCACAAAGACTAAATATAAATGGAAATATATTAATTTTTCGTCAGACGAATGTAACCGTCATTGACCATACTCGTACTAGTACAAATGTGTAGTGATTCAATAGACAAGATGCTCGCTTTCTATTGAAAAGTACTTTTAATAGAATCATATCTATTAACTACGATATCATATAAATTATCATATGCTTATATCATAAGTTTCATATCATTAGTTACTAATTAGTTACTAGTTAGTTAGTTCAGATTCTGTTGTGATGTGAAAGAGTCTATGGAACATCTGATCACCAACTGTGATGCACTAGGCCACAGAAGAAACAAAATTTTAGGTACATACCAACTAGAGGGTGAAGACCTTCGAAAACTCCCTCCGAAGGAGCTGGTTCGATTTGTCGAAATACTGATTGTCTAAATACAAAGGGGTACACAATAATCAAGCTGGCCGCAGTGCATAGGGGCCTTACCCTAACACAATACCATTGACCATTGACTAGTTAATACAATATTGTATTTTACACACGATTTGCTCATTATAATAACAATATACATATATAATTTAATATAGTAATTATATACAAGAGCATTATTTAAAACTTCTCAGTGACGTAGTGCTGAAGGGGTTAAAAAGATTATTCAGATGGCTTCCATACATTTTAAAGTTATAATTAACTAATTATTATCATTACGTGACAATCTAAGTGAAATGTATAAAAATGTGAATCGTCTGATATTTTCTACGTATCGACTTTGGTCTAAAGCTATTTTTAGGACTAGTATGTATCTATCATTTTACAAAGGAAGTCACGATTTCGATAATGATACATTAAGCACATACTAACATTATTAATTAAAAATATTAAAAAATTGCAAGATAATAAAATGCCACAATATTTTTTAAACAAATTGTTTATAATTGATAAAAATTAAAAATTAATGCACTGAAATTTTTTCTCTAAGTAAATATACACATATATTAATGAATATTAATCCTATACTTTTATCGATTGTGCTAACTCGACGAATTTAACACATATTTTCATATATTAATTGTTAATTGCATATTTCTACTGTTCTACTGTTTACCAATTTTCTGAACTCTTATTCAATATATAGAATATTAATTATATATATAGAATATTAATTATAATTGTATTAATATTTTAGGTTCATCCCATAACAACCGCTTTGAAAATTCGCACCGAGAAACATGTGCCCAAAGTTGGTGTTATGCTCGTTGGCTGGGGTGGCAATAATGGTTCTACACTTACTGCTGCTTTAGAAGCTAACCGTCGTCAATTGCAGTGGCGTACACGTACTGGTTTAAATACAGCAAATTGGTTTGGTTCAATTACTCAATCGTCTACTGTATTGATTGGTTCCGATGAAAAAGAACAAGATGTGTATGTACCAATGAAGGATTTAGTGCCGATGGTTAATCCAAATGATATATTAGTTGATGGTTGGGATATAAGTGGATTAAACATTGGTGAAGCTATGCGTCGTGCTCAAGTGCTCGATATAGGTGTACAAGATCAAATTTATAAAGATTTATCAGCTTTAAAACCACGCCCATCGATTTACGATTCCGATTTTATAGCAGCAAATCAATCGGAACGTGCTGATAATGTTATTGAAGGCACGAAATTTGAACAATACGAACAGATACGTCGCGATATACAAGACTTCAAGAAAAAATCTGGTGTTGAGACAGTCATTGTTTTGTGGACAGCTAATACAGAGCGCTTTTGTAGTGTTATCGAGGGACTAAATACAACTATGAAAGATTTGGAGACATCCTTAAAGGCTAATAAATCAGAAATATCGCCGTCTACTATTTTTGCTATGGCAAGCATAGCCGAAGGAGTAAGTTGCATAATTTATTATTATTTAAAGTTTGCTAAGTACCGTTGTTTTTTAGTGTACATACATTAATGGCTCACCACAAAATACTTTTGTGCCTGGATTGATTGAATTGGCTGAACATAAGGGAGTTTTCATTGCTGGCGATGATTTCAAATCGGGCCAAACCAAAATTAAGTCAGTGCTCGTTGATTTTTTGGTTGGAGCAGGCATAAAGCCAGTATCAATTGCCAGTTATAATCATTTAGGTAATAACGATGGCAAAAATTTATCAGCACCGAAGCAATTTCGCTCTAAGGAGGTTAGTTGAATGCATATCAAACTACTAATACTACCACTACGTTAATTATTTCAGTATAAGCTTTATTTTATTAAACATATTAAACATTTGTTCAAACAAAATACCTTTTGTATTTAGATTTCAAAAAGTAATGTTGTGGATGACATGGTTGCTTCAAATAACATTCTATACAAGCCAAATGAACATCCTGATCATATTGTAGTTATAAAGTATGTGCCCTATGTGGGTGATAGCAAACGTGCTATGGATGAATACACTTCTGAAATCATGATGGGTGGTCACAATACACTTGTGATACATAACACTTGTGAAGACTCACTTTTAGCTACACCATTGATTTTGGATCTGGTTATTTTGGGCGAACTTTGCTCTCGCATACACATTAAAAACGCTAATTGTGCCAATGCTGAATGGGTGCCATTCAAGCCTGTACTATCACTGTTGAGTTACTTATGCAAGGCACCTTTAGTTCCTCGTGGCTCTCAAGTTGTCAATTCGTTGTTCCGTCAACGTGCGGCTATTGAGAATATTTTACGTGGATGCATTGGTCTTGCACCCCTCTCCCACATGACTTTGGAACAAAGAGTATGATTGATAGTTTTTTAATTACTGTTTTTAATTACTTTTTCTAGTAATATGTTGTTACTTCTTTTACAGTTCGACTTCTCTGGCATTGCTCATGAACCTGCAATAAAGAAGATGAAAACATTCGGCAAAAATTGTGCTTTGGAATCACAGGATAATGGTTATACTAACGGTCATACCAATGGTCATGTTAAGGAACATGTGAATGGCAATGATTGTGCCACCGATCGCTAATGATCTAATTTAAACTATATTCATTATCATTAATTTAACTAAATGAATTCTTTTAAGATATCATACATTATGTTCTTTAACGTATAAAATATCAGTATGATTAGATGAAACACACATGACAAGTACTTAGGTTTATTGATAGTATTTACTACGTTTTGTAGTTTGTATCTACAAAATAAAGAATTGGAATATTAGTGTCATACAAATTAGTCTTAAGTATTGTTAAAAGTCAAATTTTTTAAAAAAAGTTTTGTGTAAGAAACTAACCATTTAACAAAAATAAATGTATACTTGTATTTCAAAGTACCAGCTCTCTTAAATATAAGAAAATATATTAAAACCTTGAAAAACTAATACATTTGAGTGCTAGCTAAGTAAATGGAGTGCAAATCATATAATTTAATAGCAGTTTTCGTAAGACGATTATTCGTAAATGTTGTAGTAGCATATAGTTATCTGTTGATAGCGTCCCTCTTGCGAATGGTGAGCTTCGCTTAATAGTCAGTGTGGATAAATGACTACAGAACGTGTACCGGATTGCGCATGGAACCATCATTTGTTAATAAGTTTTTATTCTTGTAGAGTACATCTCAATCAAGTTTGCATAAATGATATGATAAACATCGTTAGTAGAGTCAATTAGTTTCAATATGTTGATTATAGATTTTGAAGCTTATTATATTGCAAAACCCCACTATAAATAATTATAACTGATCACATTAAATATAAAAAAATAAAATGCACTCTAAAATGAGCGACATACCTCATTACTTTTAAAAGAATAATTAAATTATTCGCATGTTAGGTTAGGTTGGAATGGCGGCCTTGTGCATCAAAACCTATTTGAACTCAAATAATAGAGTGTTATTATACCAAAACCGTCTATTAATATCAAATGATATCATACGCAGACCAGAAGGATCCCCAAAAGTGTCGCCATGGTCAACGTACAAACAGCACTGAAAGGTCCCCCATTCAAGCAAAAGGAAACTAACCTGATAAGTTTATAAACATGGGCAAATCACTAATTTTGCTGGATGATAGCTCTGTCAAGTCGGTACCAAGAGAAAGTCGGTGAAGATTTTAAATCTTATAATTATTTGTAACAATAAAAAAATTCTATAAGGGTTCAAACTGTAATGTAGAAGCAACAAAAAAAAATTTGATTCATTTATTGAATTATTTATTGTTGCTTTTTTATTACTATTCGAACCCTTCCAGTTTCTTTACGTCATAACACGCGTCACATTCGTCAAATTCAGCATTTTGTTATACGTTGCATTTCCTCATTCGAATTTTTCTCAGAAAAAGAAGATTCCTTATATGTGTAATAAATAAAAATGTTGTGTGAATGCCGAATTAAGTGCGATTTCGATTTTTTTATTAATTTTAGTTGTGTCAATAAGTTATAGCCTTTTACAAATCTATTTAAGCACTTATGTCTGTTTCAGACAATGATTGAATATTCCCTTATGTATTTATTATTAAATTTGAACAAACCATAGATCAACAAGCAAAGTTAATGGATTTTATGGTAAAAGTTTAACTTTTCTTATCTATGAACAAGCATGTGCACCAAAAACGACATCGTTCTTGACATCCAACTAAGAATCCCTTTTATTTATAGATATTACCTCGCAGTGCAAAATAAATCTCATAGTAATGTACAAGTCTAAGACTTGTGTAAATGTATTATAATTTACATTTTTAATAATTAATATAAGCATTATGTATAAATTTCCTACTGGGTATTAACTCATGCGAAAATGCTTGCATGTTATTTACGCGAAACAGGCTAAAAGTATGCTATTAATTTTTAGCTAAACTATAATTTACAACTCAAATAAACTTTTACGTGTATGTACTGCAGTGGCTGATTGTGGTGTCAATCCAATTAATTTCTTTATATTTACAAAAAAATTTATTTTAAACATAACCAAATTTGTTATTATTGTCTTTCACATATGGAATATACATTATTCCATTATTAAATTAATTATTACAATTCATTTAACTTCACTGAATATCCGTTAAACTGCACTTGGTGTTTGATGTGCATTTAATATTGTGATGAACTTGCGGTACACAGCCGTATTCATAAGTTTTTCTTGAAAATTTTCACTGAAAAAAACGATTTCCAAAGGAGGTTCCCATGTTGCCTCCTCAGTTTCGATATAACCACTCTTTCTTGTTACCATATAGTCGAATGCTAGCTGGGCGTGAAGCAGAAAAATTGCACCAGCTACGAGCGAGCAATAGCTTTGACTGAGAGTAGTTTGAAAGTATGGATGCTTGACCTCTTCGAGTTGTGTCAGATGTAATAAATGAAGATCTGATTCCATATGCGATAATGAGCATATTGCTGTTATGAAAAATAGTACAACTCCAATCGATGCAATTATGCCCTCTCCTAATGCACTAATCGTCTCTCCAAAATATGTACTGACGATTGCATATAAACTATAAATCGAAAATCCTATGTAGGTGATACAGTATAGCGAGTTATGCGGCAGTGGTTCCATTTGGTTTAAAGAACCAACAATGTGAAAGTAGGCTCCGCATATACTCGCAATAAGCTCGCAAAACTTAAATATCAACCAAATATTTTCTATCATTTTTAGGCTTTAAGATTAAAGATTTCTAAGTGAATATTCTAAACTTTAAAAAAATATTTTTTTTATATTAAAAATATGTTACTGAGTTGAACAATCAATATTAGTTTAGATAGGATTTATCAACTTGAGTCTACTTTTCCAAACATTTGAACGGTTTTAATGATTTTTAATTTATCTATACCATCTGAAGAAATTAAAATATGTGTTGATTTTAATTAATAAATTTAAGTTTTCTAACATTTTAGAATTGTTTTCGTTACAGCCTAAAAATATAAGTACCATTTAAATATGAACCGAAATGATATATGGTAGGAACTCAATCCTACACAACCATAGATTTTTAGATTCACAAAGACTACAGTCAGTTTAAACTGTCTCTGAGAAGAATTTTCAAGGTACCATGGTACATTAGGACGAATGACATCCTCAGGGACCTCAAGATTGATCCGATCAAAAAATATATAAAAGATAGAGCCCTTAAATTATTTACGAAAACTGACAGGCTTACTAACACCGCGTTATCAGAATGAGTCTCAGAGAGGGAGGTATGCAGATCTGAGGTCAATTACTGCTTAGTCTGATGAAGTGATAAACAATAATCCTGTCAAGGCATAGAGAGGGGTTATGAAAAAACCTCGCAGTTAATAGAGACTAAAACTGATCAAGTGCACTGAATCAAGTAACCTCAACATAATAATAATGAAAGTTAGATTAAACACAACCATAGATTAATAAATTCGAAGAGATAAAAAACGTTTCGGGCTGTTCTTAATAGAAATCAGGGAGAAGTCTATAAATATTCCTTTCATTTTATATGGTGGGTATGTAATACTACACATGTTTCCTTTGAATTAACAGTTTATTTTTAGATTAGATTAGGTTTTTAGATTCACAAAGACTATTGTCAATTTAAACTGTCTCTGAGAAGACTTTTCAAGGTGCCATGGTACATTAGGACGAATAACATCCTCAGAGACCTCAAGATTGATCCGATCAAAAAATACATAAAAGATAGAGCCCTGAAATTATTTACGCGTTATCGAATCTCAGAATGGTTACAGGGTCATCAGGGAGGTATGCAGATCTGAGGTCAATTACTGCTTAGTCTGATGAAGTGATAAACAATAATCCTGTCAAGACGTAGGAGTTATGAAAAAACCTCGCAGTTAATAGAGAGTAAAACTGCTCAAGTGCACTGAATCAACTAGCCTCAACATAATAATAATAAAAGTTAGATAAAACACAACCATAGATTAATAAGTTCGAAGAGATAAAAAACGTTTCGGGCTGTTCTTAATAGAAATCAGGGAGAAGTCTATAAATGTTCCTTTCATTTTATATGTTGCGTATGTATTACTACACATGTTTCCTTTGAATTAACAGTTTATTTTTAGATTAGATTAGATTTTTACATTCACAAAGACTACAGTCAATTTAAACTGTTCTTTATAAAAATCAGGGATAAGTTTATAAATATTCCAATGATTTTAGGTCGTGGACTTCCCTAATGATAGTACTTGTTCCCTTTTTTACTAAATAACGATACTATAAAATATCCTTTTTATATCTATATCTATCCAGCACACTTCAACTTATCTCTTCTTTCAAATACTCTCAGTTTCATAAAAAATAACCGATACGTTTTATAATAGTATTTAACTCATAGCAAGCATACTATGAATCTGTATGATCTAAATACCATGTATGTTATCTTTCAACAAATCATTGGTTTTTAAAAGAAAAAGATTTGATTTAAAGGGATTGAAGTGAATATAGCGATATTTATATAGCAATATTTATAATGCCGTGATTAGTCATATTATAGTCTTAATCAAAGGATCTTTTGTGATTCATTACATTTTTTTTTAATTTTTTATCTATCGGTACAAATGACTTGACTTAATCATTAATAGCCCACACAACATATTATATTGGAATCACACATTATCGAAACAATTTATTATAACCAAATTTATTTACCAAAAATTAGTCACCAGATGCTTGAGCGAAATATAAACAAATTTAGCGAACTCGTATGCTTTCGAAAATGCTTATCTAATCCACTGTACAATCAGTCCATTTTAATGATGGATGACATTGACGAAAGAAAATATTATCAAAAAGTATGAAAGTAAAAACTTGTGGAAGTATAACTAAATTTCTATGGTGCATAAACTAGGTTAATGAATTCTTTTTTTAATAATTTTTAATGCTTAATAATTAAATGCAATCAGAATAATGGATTCCAATCCATTATGATTTGAAATTAGAGAAGAATTTGTTTCCTTAATCAATTTAAAGACATTTATAGACATTCATCTGTGTTAACCACATATTTGAGACCAAATTGACAAGTCGAATCTGACATGATACTTACCGTGACCATATGGCGTTCACCTGTGTTTTGCTCTAATATGACTCTTATCAGTAAATTGAGGTTCTTTTACTTCTGATGCTGGAAAAATTTGAGCAGTTTTTCAGCAACTTTTCACAAGTTTCTTATTCGGACTACAAAGACTACAATTTTATTGATCCTATAAAAGCATTCGTCAAAACCTACACATATCATGCTATTAGTTACTACTAGGATACCGCAGTGGTCTGGAACCCATATAAGATGTAGACTTTTATATTTTGCAAAACTGCTTACACTTATCTTACATTCATTGATCGTATTTGAAGATTTTATTAACAGTTTCACTGTCACTGCAGATGCGTATGTATTTTCCGTGTCATTTTTTCTCGATAATCCCATAAACCAATAATAGTATAATATAAACTTTAGTCTAGAAGAGTGTGGTTATATATTCAGTGAATAAAGCATATTTGGTTTCATCGTAAGAGATATAAGTTGACTACATCAGCAGAATTTCTGGACTTAAGCCTTGATATTTTAGGAATAAGATATCATATCTTTGTTCAAATAGTAATTAGTACACACGATCGTTCACTGACATCGGAAAAGCAGGTACTGATCTGAAAGCTGTCGGCGTATCTGTCAGTTATCATTATTTAATTCAGCCTGTCATAAACAATTTATTTTGTGCTAAAGGCAGTCGAAGATAATACGATACAGATATTCCTAAGTACACATTGCTTTGTAGTCTGGCTAGAAAAAAAGCAGTGGAGTTAACCAGAGTTCAACGCCACAAAATCACGAAAGTGTATTGTAAGCTAGCTATAGATTTATCTAGTCAGTACATTATTGCTGGGTTCAGGTTTTGCCAAAAATCTTTTAGCATTTTTGGAAACATAAAAATCTTTATATGTTACTTTTGTTGAAATGTAGTCGATGCATCTATTATATGCTTTATATTTGCTCTATCAAAAACGCTAACTTATATGAAAAATACAAAATTCTTATTTCCATTTTTAATAATTAAGATTGTGTATATATAACCTAAATGTTAAATTAATAAATAGGCTATGTTTAACAGCCACAGAGATTAACTTCCATAGTGTAGAGGTACCTTACACCACAAAAGGCATTTTTAATCGAGATTTTTATATTACTGCTTGAGGTAGCAACATATTTTTATTTGAATAATCAATTATACACCTAAACATAACAAACACATTGCGTATATATGTATATTTGTTTGGAACGATATATTTTTCTTGTGTCATAAATCATGAACTGGCCTATCCCAATAACTGACAAGCCTTCTAATATAAAACTCGTGAAATTCTACAGTAAAAAATTTGATTTTAGTAAAGTTCTTATGAATTATAATATCACAGAACATAGCTGTGATGAACACTGGTGTTGCAGACGTGAGAACGGAACGGGGTTGTGTTTCACACGCTCACTCCTCAAAGGAGTGATGAAGAAGAAGTGGGATTTAAAAGTGATTGCGTGCTAACTGAACTTTCTGAAATTATTATATGGTTTTAAATAAAATTTAATTTTTGTCTTTTAGTCGCACTCAAATTTTACGAAGAATAAAATATTGTAGAACTAAATATCTAAGAACTTACAATTGGGAGTTAGTAATTAAGTCTACTAATATTTTTAAACCATAACACAAAAAAAGAGATCTCATACTCATTTAGAAACGATAATATAGGATAAGATAGTACGATACGGTTTATATACAAGCACAGTTCGTATATAAACACGTTTACTGCACTAAGAATACCTGATTTTGGACGAGGAAGTCAATCTGTAGCTTAACTGAAGCAAGTAATGCCTAAGAACGTTCTTTTATGCCTAAGAACGTTCTTTTATGCCTAAGAACGTATTTTACTTTAATTTTTTAAATATTTAAAGCAGAAATAATTTATCTTTTTGGCTGAATCATTTCCTCATAGACAATCCCATAGATTGCATATCCCAAAGAAACGATAGACATTTGGATCTTAGAGTTGGTATTTCCTTTTAAAGTTTATATATTCTCTAAAAAATCTGTAAGGATCTAAAGATTAATGTTAAGCTGAAATATTAAGGCGATTTGTAGGTGTATAGCACAATACACAGAGAAGTGTATACGGTAGAATAATATGTATTTAATGTATAGGAGTTCCAAAAGATATACATAAATGGTATGTGACATCAATTAATGTAAATTACTTTTACACTAGAAGTAATTATTATTACAATTATAATAATAAACATATAATATATTTATAGAAAGGTGAATAGAACAATTAATAGAATACAATAGGAAAATAGAAGATCATGTTGCCATATGTCAACAAGTCATCAACAATTTTGTTAAAAGCATCAATTGCTATAAGACGTCCCGAGCAATAAGTTCTAAGAGCAATTTGAATAATATTGCATTTCACGCCTAACGATGTGAACCAAGTAATATATTGTAATAAAATTTTGGTAAAAATCTTAAACGCAAAAATCTTTAATTGACATTTACTTTTGGAGCGGATAACCGTGTATATAGCATAGATAAATATCTTTGAAGCCTATGAAATATGGTGCTATTGACGATGATAATCTGGTCTAAGTAAATTATAAATTAGAAAGTGTTGTCGTTTATAAACCGATAATTTTTCATTTTCAATTTAAGCTGCAATTTAAGACCCCGGAAGGACCTAAAAACAGGCGCG